GTCAAGGCGAGTGTCATAACCACTAGACCACGGAGGCTTCATGGTTGAACAGATTCAAATACCACCAGATACACTCTATTACACAATAGGTACGGCTAGAAACAAATAGGTGCATATAACATAAATAATGATTTATATATATAAAACAATTATATATAGATTTAATAGACAATTTATGATTATAATATAAAAAGCATTAACACGTTGAAACCACTACAGCTTACATACATAATGGCTAATTATACGATACTGTTAAAATTTCACTTTAGAAAGTGTTCGCCTAAATAACTAACTTGTATAACCTAATTTGGGATAATATTATTGCATATTTATATCACCATTACATGTAGGCCTACAGAAACTGTAACTATGCAACTGTAACTTACTAATGTCATAAAATAATCCCCCATAAAACGGTTTGCGTCCCGGAAAGAATATACGAGGCATGCCACATTGTAGTAAATAGGTGATTTTATTCTATTTCTCAAACCAACATTGATAAAACAACTGCAATTATTACACGCTTATACAGAATAAACTACAATATTCGTGACCTTAGACTATGAGTTATGATTATCAATAGAATTACAGTGTACTTACAATTACCGTATTGTGGCCTAAGAAGGACAGGTTACTATCCGACGGACAAATGCATCAAGTCATTGTGTGCCCCTACGCTTGGAAGATTTTAAATAGACTTAAACCTTCACTGAGCACTAACAATAAAATAAGTAGGCACCATGTTATTTCACTGAACTATCAAATCAGAGACGAGATATACTCTTATCAGTCATACGTATGTATTCAAAATACTATGAATTCGCCTGTGTCTTTCAAAACATAACGTATTCGGGCCAATTTCCGGGGGATCGGTTTGGTAGGGCCTAAACAATTATAGTGTCTTGCCTTGGCCCATAAATATCATTGGGCCTGATATTGTATTTGATAGGCCTAGTATATTTAATAGGCTGTTACTTTATTATCGGTTTATATTATCTATGACTTAATGTTAGGCCTAATTGATTGATAATTAATCTTACCTGGGTTGCTTCGATGACATATACGTGTTCTGTTCAAGATAGACTGGATTTTTATTAATTTAAGGAATTAAATCCAATCATGTTATCAGTATCTTTCAAATCATATTGTCAGTTAACTTCAAAGTTGCTGGTTGTAGGCGTATAATTACGTTATGCGTGTAGTTCAAGTCTGCTATATACTTATTAAAGTTGATTCCACATTTTATGACAATAAGACGGGATGTTCTCTACCACGCATAAGAATCTCAGGAAGCTATAGACCTTGGATAAGCTGCTTTATTAATTTTGTCATTGATTGTTACCACGTCACAACTGATAAGAAAGTATAATACATACTCCAAGTATTGAAATACACGCCATCGTGTTGGGATTCAATATTTCGACATTAATTATGTCATCATCAGGAATGAAAAAATTATCCATATTAGCAAGCTTATGCACTAGTACCAAAAGTGTTTAACCAATCAAAACGTTACCTCTAGTAGGTGACATAGCAGTGATTTAAACAAAAGATCAAAGCATTCTTACTCTAATGATCAAAGATAGGCCTACCTACCAAAACAAAGAATAAAGCTCTTTTGAAGCTCTGAGCCCATTGTTAAGCAAAGGGTGTAGTCTAAGTATAGCGAACGCTTCTTTAAACAATAGGATAGCCCAGTTTCGGGAGCTGTCAGTAATGTTAGTACTAGAAAATATTAAACCTAATTTATTACTTACATTACAGACGACATTATCATTTTAAGTATATCCTGTAATCCTAAAACATATTGGAATGCCTCACAGTTTTTAACATGATCAAATATAACACTATCAGATCGTGAACAATGTTCTTTAAGTCTAGTTATTAAGCACCTATCTGTCTTACCAATATAATCACTATTGCAGCCTGGACATTTAAAATGATAGACAACAGAACTTCTGTACTCCTTAGGGGTTTGATCCTTAGTAGATATATAATGAGAAACATTTTTATACTGCCATAAAGTTATGAATTTTACCTCTTTAATTAAGTGTTTCTTTACCTTATTTAAACATCTACGTAAAATGAACTCACCTGGTTTTCCTAGATAAGGCAATCTAAACCAAATCTTAATCAAGTTATCATCAGTTGGCCTATGTATACATTTAGGTTCATTTAATTTCTTAAGTACATTATTAACAACTTTTAAAGGGTACCCATTCCAAGACATAAACTTCCTGACGTTACTAAGCTCTGTTTGAAGTTTATCAGGAGTACACAATCTGTGGGCTCTAGAAACTAAACTTCAAATCCAGGAGATCTTATGGTTCCATCATGGAGCAAAGCTATCATAATGGACATATTGACCTGTATGTGTATTTTTACGATATATACTCATGCTTCCTACACTGTTGTTAAATTGTAAATCCAGTAAGTGTACTGTGTCACTGTTTTCAAATGATTCAAAAGTAAAATTTATCTGTCTATGAAAATCATTGAAGTAGCTTAGAATTTGCGGGAAATCATTGGGCTTAGCTAATACTAGCGTGTCGTCAACAAAACGAGTATAAAGCTTAATAGTACCTGATTCAATAAGTTTAGGAACAATAGACTCTTCTAGTTCAGTCATTAAAATATTAGCTAAAACTGGGCCAAGAGGCGAACCCATTGAGACACCATCAGTTTGTTTATAAAATTCATTATTACATGTAAATACAGTTTTAGTACAGCAATCTCTGAGTAGTTTCCTTAGCGAATTTTTCTTAAGGTTAGTAGATATCAGTTTCTTATTGTAAACCCTATCAAGAATTATATTAATTACCTTAGTAAGGGGAACATTTGTAAACAGAAATTCAACATCAAAAGATACAAAACGGTAACCTAAATTATATAATTTTTTTGGTATAGCTTTAATGCGGTCAGCAGCATCAAAAGAATCTTTAAGGACAAAGTCATTAACCGTTAGAGGGCCTAATAAGTTTGATAAGCACTTAGCTACTGAATAATAACAAGTACCGGTCGTGTCAATAATAGGTCTTAGGGCTGGAATATTATCAAAATCTTTATGTAATTTAGGTAGTCCATGGGCTCTAACAGGCATGGTTGATACTGGACGAATTTATTTGTATTCAGTTTCAGTTAGTTCATTTCTATTAAATAGTGTCCGGAGGTAGGCTTGTAAGGAGTTAAGCTGCGTGGTTAATGAACAGTTAGATAGTTTCTTAAACTTAGTTGAATCAGAGAACAAGTTCGTCATAGATGTGATATAATTAGTTTTCTTCATTATCGCAACACCATTTCCTTTATCAGGTTTAAGAATTACATACTTATTACGTAAGATTTTTAAAGTATTAATACGTTTGGCACCACAATTTAAATTTCGGTTATCAAAGTCAAGAAAGTTACATGTCATTGCACGAATTGAGTTCTTAATTTTTCTCACGTTTAATAAATGATTTAGGACTGTACCAAAATGCTTGTGGCCGCGTGGCGTATTCTACGCATGTTCTATGTAACATAATACCTGTAATGTCTTCCTGCATTTCGATACTATTTTCTTTATAACCACACCCAAGAATTAGGCCTACGTTAGAATTATGTGGGGCTCATAGCATAGTATCAATTATCCACAATAGGAACAATTGGTATTGTTGAGTGACAGATATTTCGCTTCAGTTCTTCATATTGTTCGACCATTGGGGGATAATTTTTGAAACCCGTCATTGACAAAGATGCAGCCAATGACGTGAATCATCGGTGACACTTCCTTTTTAAACATGTACTTTAACAAATTGCAAGTGAAGTGCTGCGAAGTACAACTGCATATAAATGAACAAAATTATTTATGCGAGTCAAGTGAAAATAATGAATAATAAAAATATAACAAATAATATGAGACACGACCCATTATCTATATTAGAACACTTCTCGTTGGGTAACAAAGTAATTTTTCATTTTTGTCAAAAAGTGTCTTAGTGGTGAATTATGGCTTAGGTTTTTTTTTAAATAAAGTTTCAAAAATTTCTATGTATGTGGAAAATGTAGTTGATTACCAAAGGTTACAATTTTTATTTTGAAGACTGTATGGTCTAGGAAGTGTACATTTTTTATGGGGCAAGTTTCCAAGGGCGGGTTTTCTAGGGGCGAGTTGACTGCCAGAGAGGGTTGCCAAAGTGCGAGCCAGCGTGTTATTTCGTCCCCTATATAACGTAGTGGCGAATGTGGAAAAATCAATTTTTTTTTTATTTGTG